ACCATCGGCTCTGAACACTTATCGACCTCCTTATGAAGTTTCTATGAGCTCTAAACAGAGCTCAATAGGCCCTTTCGTGTTTCATCAGCTCCTTGTTACATTTCCGCGTTGTAGGAGTATCGTGCTGTAGGAGTGAGTTCCGAGTTGTAGAAGTCTTTGCTGTAGCAGTCATATGTTGTTTTGACTTAATTGTTCCGCGAAGAATAGTTTCACCACGCATTTTTCCTGTAGTTCGAATATGATGTTGTAGTGAATGCACCAATTTCAACAAAACTCTTATAAAACTGCCTTATTGAGGATCATATAAAGAGAAATGGCTGTGTTACGTAGGTGATAGCCAATAACCTCATTTAGAAATAGCATATTTGAAAATGCGATATTTCGAGCCCTTTAAACTTCTTTAGGTTCGTATTTATTCTTTCCTAAAATAATCATTAACGTTGGTGATTTCTTCTTTTTCAGAACGTCGACGCAATGACAATTGAAATCCAATTTGACTGTTTGTGAGAAATTCCTCCCTTTCACCGAGCTTCCTGAATGTGTTTTTTGCACACTGCCAGCATCAAATCTTACCGCAGAAAATCAATTTCTGATATAACACTATGACAGCTAAAAAATGGTGATGAGGGAAACTCGATAAGAGTTATGAAATTGCACCTAATATATTGAATTTCAATCGCTTTCAATAACAAACATGCATTTCGCTATACTGGTCAGGCATGTCAAAGTTAAAAGAGCGTTGACCTTCGAAATATAGCAAAATGAGAGCCAATGTCTAGTTCAGTTATGGTAAAATGTTTACCGTTTTGCTTGTGTTGTTTTAAACCAACTTTATGTTTTCTAGTTTGAGGCCTTTGAGACTCAACATTGGCATAATATATATAAAAACAAAAGTGGTGCTCTTCAACTGTTGACTGGAACTCGCTGAATCACCACAGTATCCCAATGGAAAGGATAGAGAACATTGTGGCGAAATTGTTTGTCAGTCAGCTATTCAACTGGCACAGTACGGAGCTGCTTATCCAGTTATATTTAGCACTCAGAAACTTTTCACAAGAGAGTTTTATAATTTAATAGTGTCGACTGTGACTTCGATTTGTCATTCGTGAGCAGAAAACCACAATATTTAAGTTAAAAACAATGAGTTCCCACCAACACATTTTGATCACAAGATCTAAGCATTCATAGCCTTCAAGTGTTATATGGCTTGGTAAAGCCTATACAAATAAACTTAAATTTTTCGCCTATAAACCCAGAAAGCACGTTCCAGCGGTCGGAATAACAAAATGAAGCCTCAACTGTTCTACGATGTGTATATTTTCCCCAGTACTCACTGGATCTTGCCATAGGGTTAACATTGTTTTGCTTCTAATAATGAGCTTACACAAGATTGTTCGACGGTTTCGTCTTCTTCAATGTCACGATGACTTAAGTCGAGTGTTTACAGTAAATGTTTTTTTGTTATCTTGGTATCCACAGCAGTCACATTGAGACTACTCGACTGGAGTGATGCATCGCATCAACGAAGCCATCGTTGCCTTTTCATAATTGACTCCAGCCACGCAGGAGTGATCTGACGTAGCATGCAGCAATCTACATAGGATGACCAATTATTTCCGCATGATCTTCATTCAAACAATTCATGGAAGCTTTGGTTGTAATTCGTCAATTCATTACAATATTATATTCGAAGTGTAGGGAGAATACGTGGTGAAACTATTCTTTGCTCAACATTTAATCAGAACAACATATGACTGCTACAAAATAGAACCTCTACAACCCAGGACCCCTACAGTACGGAACCCCCACAACGCGGAAGTATAAACAAGGATCTCGTACAACAGAAAATTGCCTATTCAGCTCCATTGTATGAAAATTTCATAAAACAATCGATGATTAATCAGTGCTGATGGTGCTTCTAATACGATTAGTTATTCGCAAGAAAACAGCGCTATTACGTTGGTACTGGGATAATTCTTGCTAACAGATTGAAATTGATGAGATGAAGCTCGGCTAAGGTGTGCTCGCTAGACGGACGCATAAAGCATTTTGCATCGCAGCTTCTCAGCTAGTGAGCGATAGTCTTCAAAAGTGATACACCCATGCCGTCGTTCCCTATCAATTGTGCAAACCTATAAGTGAACTCTTCAAACTCAAACACTGAATTGTGTTAGGGTGCATATAGATAACATCAATAATGACAGCGTCGTTTTGGAAAAAAAAACCCTTGAAATTAATGGAGAACTTTGGTCTGGAGGATCTATTCCTGAACAGAGTAGCTTTTTTTTGTTATTGCTAGATATATCGATTCGAAACCGGATACGAAATTTATGAATGCTTAATAGCTAGCTGAAAAAACAGCATCTCAATTCTTTAGATGGTCCTCTTTGGAACACTGAAGAAATGAGGCAGGCCACTGAAGAATTTGCGACCATCCCATTGATAGCATTGGAGTTCACTATACAAAATATGCAGAACTAATTTTGTTTGGTCCACATCTTAGAGAAATCGCGCAAAATTGACCACGTCTTAAACATGCACTCTGCTGAGGAACATGGAGCGTTTTGAAAGGTGAATAAGGATGCTTCTGCTCAGTGTCACGTCAGTAGCATTCTCTAGAACGCTCAGTCTACTGATCCATCTTGATACTTTGCCAATCCCATGAAGTGTAGGAATTCTGCGCGTTACGACAAGGCTTGTAACTCAAACGCAATTGTATTCCCTACCAAAGAATCTGATACGGTTTCCCTGTCGCTTCCTCATTTCGGTGAATTCTATATGTCATCTTGATCTCCGCCTGTTTTTGAGTCGTTTGGCGGAATTCTGTAGAACTTTTTTACCGGTCGCCTTCCTCGTGACAAGGCATATTTTATATGCGTAAAAAATGTGAGAGATTCATGAGGAATTAAAGATTATTAAACGCTATTTCTGTTTTAATCAATGTTCGTTGCCAAGAACGTTTTGTGGTAAATGCGCTTTGCTTTTGTCAAGCAATACTACCTCTACAGCTTTTCCCCTTAAGGGTACACTTGTAGCTTCGACGTTCTCTCGACTACGAATAATTCAGTTCTGGAAAAGTCGCGAGTTTATGTCGCTGTTTCAGAACTAGATTGTTGGAACCAAATTTAAGCAGTGCTCCTCCGAAATTGATGCATTTGCTAAAGTTTTTATTCAAATGAAGCTCTTCGTTGCTTCCTGTTCTTCAAAATTTGACAACATCAGCACTTTTCCCGTGCCTTGCCGTAGTAAATTCTTCCACAGACTTGCTTCGGCGAATTTCGCTTCAAATCAAACGGTTGAACATCTGTACTTGGGTCAATTTAGGTGCTGCGCACTCATTTATAGCGTTGTGACGTGAATTCGCGACTTTGCGAAGAAAATATTTGCTATTGATTCAAATGGGTGCGTATTGTGCAGTGGTTAAACGTCCGTATGCAAAACACACATGATTGATGATCAATGATTGATTCACTTTCACGCTCAAGGTTAACCAAGCTTTCTATCTCTCCGCTTTCTCTGTATTGGTATCAGATTTGTTTGTGAGGCTGGAAGCAGAAAGTTGATAGATAGGAAGAATAAAAAAATGACGCAAAGCTTACAATGCGAAACATTTCTGACAATGAATTTTAAGAAATATTGAAAATTTCTTCTGCTCAGCCTTGATGTTCCCATTGGCTTTTCCCATTTAGCAACTTATCAGTCCCCTTTTGTTGATGATGAGGTGGACTAGTAGTCAAGGCAAGAACTTGTACAGGATTTCATTAAATAATTCAGAAGTGGGCGAAAAATAAGAAAGCACCAAGAATACTGCATTATCAGAAAGGAAAAGACAGACCGTGTTAGATTTCGTTGTCGAAAAAATAAGAATCAAATGATCGAGTTTTGTTTCGGAGTTTTGGAATGTTACACTTCGGTGAAAGTGATAGCGTATCAATATAAGTTAGACGTTGCAATGAGCGCAACTGACTTCTTTAGCCGCTTTTCTAAGCGTTCAAAGATTTCCATCAGGTAGGTGGTGATCTGGAAGGTATCCATTTTTTGTAGTTGCCAGACATCAATATAACAGAAAAAATATTTTACAACATATTTTGTATGGCAGAGTCTCACTCCATTCGTGTAGCACTGAGTTAACATATTTATGACGATGCTTGTTTCTGAAAAAACGGACGTATTTGAAAACCTCAAAACTTAGTAGCCTCATGCAAAAAAGCCTTACCTATTTCTCTTAAGGTGCTTATAAATGGACTACTACCTTCAAAACTAAGTTTTTCTACTTGAAATTTGAAACTACTTGAGGTGATCTCCTCAACTTTTTGTTAGAGTCTCATCTCTAGATTTGAGTATTTGGATGAAAAACAACCGATTATTAACTGACGACGATCACCGGAAACTCACAGCGGGTCACGTCGTTGACACTACACTCGGCACATACGTAACATGCTAAAGATAGTTGCTGCTGTTAGATGAGTTGGTGCTACATAATGTGAAGAGAGGCCTAAAATGAAGTATTTTGCTTCAGCTTCCGAATGGGTTAAATAAATTTTTCAGTATAAATGCAGTGAAAACGGTGTAAAAACTACTTGAATGTGTAAAAAATAGGCAATTATATTTAACTTTGGGGATCGATGTGGGGTAAAATAACGTGACTTCACTGAGTTGATTACTGATCGATGAGCAGATGGAGCTGAAATAATCTAATGCTTTGGTATATTTTCTGGAATGAAAGACAATCGCTCTTACTTTTCTACATCCTTCACCACCATCCAAGCCCTACACTAACTTGCCTTCTTAAATTGATAACAAGGAGTTCGAATATGCGTATAATAGGAAAAGGAGCACAAATAAAGTAGTAGTATGTGAAAACGGAGTATGAGCAGTGTAGACAAATGAGAAAATAGAATTAGAAAACACTCAAGGTTTCTAGTGTTTTTAATGCCTTTTTTGGCAGTGTTGTGACATTTGAAGTATACCTTAGAGAATTGAATGTTGAGCAAAATTTCGGCCTCAGACGTGAGTTGAACCCACGTTTCAACCATACCAGGGCCCGCATGCAATCACTACACCACTGAGGTGCATTTGAGCCAACACTTATTCTTCAATATCTTTGTGACAGCTATGAGCCACCAACCTTTGACAGGTCTGCTAGGCTAATGCGATATCGCTATATAAACATAGTTAGGCTGATAGCCATGGTGGTATGTACTACTTGAGATTTTGAATGCTTTTACTGTCTTTTGACAGTGTTATGAAGAAACTGAAGAAATATTTTTATACATATTCAGTGCGTCGAATCTGTACCAGAGTAGTAGAGCAGCAATGAAATCGAGATCTAAACATTGTATTTGTTATTAGGGAAAGTTGACAGATACCGTCACAATTATAACCAAATGATACTCTGTGGTCCCTCTAAGAATTGCTGTTGTTATCAAAGATATATGTTAGAATAGTTCACTTCATTAAATCTGTGGTGGTGAGAAATCATAGGCCTTGTTTTCGAACAAAGAGAGAGAAAGAGTTGAGCATTGCATTGTGCTCGTATGTCATAGCATGCCACCGGGAGAAGAGCAGCAGTTATGGCAGAAGCCTGCAGAAGCTGGGAAGTGCATTCGCAAAGCCCAGCGAGGCTTCGCCAACTATAAGACCAAGATGATTGCAGTCCGATACCCTGACGGGGCACTTACAGATTCGAGAAGGGCTATGGAGAAAATCATTCACCAATGCTAATCGGATCTCTTTGCTAGCCATGTCCTCTTACCGTCATATAAATTGAAAGAGGACGAATATGTCGTTCCACCCGGTCCTCCCTTCCGAAATCCCACATGCTATATTGTTGGTGAAGAACAGAACAACACCTGGTCCAGACAGGATTAGACTAGAACACCTGAAGAACTTTTCGCCAGCTCCCATCAGCACCGTGGCTCGGCTCTTCACTCTGTACCTGTCAGAATGCAAGGTTCCTAATCAGTGGAAAACCAGCAAGACCGCATTGTTGTTTGAAAAGGGAGACCATCACGACATAGGCAATTGTCTCCCAATCTGCTTGCTGTCCGTTGTCTATAAACTCTTCCCTCGAGTCATCCTAACAGGGTTGGCAGAACACTGGACGAAGGACAGCCACGCGAACAAACAGGGTTCCGAAAAGGATTTAGTATCATGGACCACATTCACACGATTTCAAGATTCACTGAGGCTTCACGAGGGTACAAAATACCGCTCTGTCTCACTATTATCAATCTGACGAAAGTTCTTTGATTCAGTGAAAAGGGAAGCGCTTGTAGGGGCTCTCGATAACCAGGGTGTCCCTACTCGGTGCAAAACGATCCTTCATGAGCTTTATAAAGATACGAGCTAATTATCTCCATTCGACCAACAATGTCACCAATGACGTAAGAAAGGGGGTTCAACAAGGCGATACAATTTCGGGCAGAATTATTCACTGCCACCTTCAAACGGTCAGTGGTCTTATCAACACTATCCTCACGCTGGTAATTAAGTTGTTATCAACCCATCCTATCCAATGCCTAAATGTTCACAATCACCTGTGGGTGCGCGCTACCAAACAACACACACGTAATAATCTCTTACTATTACCTCGCTTCATACTAATCTATTGAAATGATCTAACAATGCAAGCCATTCTCGAGCTTTACTATAGAAAATAAAGGAATACAAATATGCATAGCACAGCAACTAATGACCCTCATGAAGTAATATCTTCGTTGCTCAAGCTTTCGGTGGTCGGGGAGATGCTCCACACAGTCTAAGGAGTCAGCTATGAATTAGCAACCAAAGCATTAAGCTTTGTCACAGTTGTAATGTTAAAAGTGGAAGCCCCAATTTTCGTTTCAAAAATGCAGCTCTAGAAAATGCCTACTGGACAAAATGGTAACCATAGTTTAAAGTAGAGTAAACACATTGGTTTAAGGCCCTTTCCTCTCATGCCCCTCACATGAAAACAGCACTCATCAAGGAAAATTGAACGCCTAGAAATGTAAGCACAGGAAGATGAGGAGAGAAACGACTAATAAACTTGAGACGAAAGCTAGCTATTTCCAGTGGTCATGTGCATCATAGGAGCGCATGTAGCGCAGTGGTCAGAGGTGCTCTGCGTCGCAACACGAGGTCAATGATTTCGATCTTGCGCTCATGGCTCACCAAGCCATCCATCTTTCCGGGGTCGGCAAATTGGTACCAGATTGGTCTCAGACTTGTCTCGGAGGATAAGCAGCACTACTCGGTTCAGCGACAAGCCATCGCGAGTCCATTGTAAAGGCCAGATATGCATTTGATCACCTTGAACGAAATTCAACATAGAAGACTAAAGCATGGCAAGCAGCATTACTCGTGAACTGATCAATGTCGAGAGCTTTATTCTTTTATCCTTTTATCATCATCACTCGGATAAGTTCGAAAAGCAGATTAGAATTAGGTTTAAAACAATATTTTGCACCTAAATAAGATCCCTTTAAAACTTTCAATAATTCCGTGTACTGCCGATAACAGCTTGTGACTATTAGTTAATAGAAGATTGGAGACAAGTCTTTTTCTTGTAGTGTTTCGTTGCCTTCGTTTTTCTTTTGAACCGGATCGATGCAAGTTGACAGTCGTAATGCGACTCGGGTTTCGTTGTCATTAAGTCAAATCCAGTGAAAAAATTCAGAAGTCTGCCCATAAAACTTACTTGAGAGAAGCAGATGAACTAGTGACCTTCGTATTAGAATGACCAGTGGCTAGGAAATCAATTCGTTCAAAGTGAATCCCTGAGATATTTTGCTGATAATTTCTTGAGAATCATTCACAGAATCTGCTTTGATTAAGTTACCGTCCGACTACAAAAAACAACGAATGCGAGTGTTATGTATGAGATAAAGGATGGGGGAGGAAAATCACTCCTATTAAGATCGTACCTACCATTTCAAGAGCTGCAAGAAGAGTTTCAGAGAGGTCACTCGTGATAAGAATAATAATATAAATCTGACATCTTAGCAGGCCGATTTTCTTGAAAAAAATGTGTTTTCAAAGAGAAAAATAATGGTGGTTTAATCAGTGGTATGGACGTAACCCTAATCGCCCCACTATTCTTCAACAAAGATTCCAAGGATCACACGTCTACAAGCGTAATAAAGGGAACACTCAAGTAGCATTGAACAATTGAAATTCTTCTACTTCGCATTCCAGAAGCCTTCCATCAGACTTGTGGCAGCTCAACAGGAACATCGCTAATCTACAAGATTCAAACGCCTTTCATTCTTGTTTTCACTTATCGATTATATGACTGTATAGGGAAACACCTTTGGGAAGAAACGAATTCTGTGAACTTAATAGCACTCAAGCACTGGATAGCTTTTATTTTACTGATACAGCGGATATGGGAAAACATCTTGACATGAAAACGATTCTGTTTTTAATAATCAAATAGCATTCAAACTCAAAATACTTCAATATATGTATTTTAACTATCGGATAATATAATCAGAACTTATTATTATATCGTTTTAGTTTATATGTTTAGTTATTGTAATGCTACTGCCTTTCTGCTACCTACAATATTTTCGCTTTCGTTTAATGCTATGTATCAATGTGTTGCTCATCATTATCGCTAGGTGGTTCCTCTCTTAGTCCTTGAGGTCTTTTCTCAACTACTTAGTAGAGAATAGTGATGGGAGTGTTTTCTCAAGTTTAAAAAAGAGAGTTCTTTTGCTATTCGTGAATTTTCAAATTGTTTTCATCAAAAAAGTCTATATCTGAACCCATAACATTGT